CTGTCCCCAGCCCGTGGTGGCACAGCACCAGCTCCACCAGGTCCTCCTTCTCCCTGCAGGTGTCCGTGGGGATGTTCCTGAGGAGCAGGTACTGCCGCAGATCCTTCACTTTCAGTCTCATCAGCTGAGGCCGCTGGAAGGCCGTTTCTTGCAGCAGGTGACAGGTGGAACATCTCCTGAGATTCTCTTGTAGGACTGAACAAACTGAGCAAAAATCCTTTTTGCAGTCACAGCACACGTGCTGAGGGGAAAGGAGGGAACCATTCAGTTCTGGCTCACAGGAAACAAACCCAGGCCCTGCTCTCTCCTTCTCCAGGCTACAGAATTTCCTATCAGCTCTTCCACTGACAGTTGTGACAGAACTTTAAAGATTTAAACACAGACAACTGCCCTGTCAGTTCTGCAAGTGTTCCAAGGGAGTCCCTCGCTCTTCTGGCAGTACTGAAGCTGATTTGAGGTTTTAGTGAGGTTTTACTTGAGTAATAAAGTACTCAAGTTGTAGTTTAGACAACAAACAAAACTAAAACTAATTTTATGGTCTGTTAAAGTACTTCTGAATATACTGTCACTGCTCCTTTCATGTGTGTAAAACAACAGGAAAACCCCAAACTTTAGAGAACCTCCTGCTTCCTCAAGTGATTGCAAGAAGTCAAAGTCACCTCACATGTGATGAATCACATGGGAGGGAAACACTCCCAAAGCCCAGATGTCACTTCTGAAGAGAGCTCTGTTCAAAGGACTCACAATACACAAAAGATGGAATAGGCAAGGCTGTCAGATTCCAGCTGCTGTGAGCAAACCCAAACTCCTCAAGGTTTTCAGGATTACAAATTAATATTGGCTTCAGAAACCTCCCCACACAACACTTCATTCAATGAAGCCTTGCCATGTGAACAGGACACATAAAGGGAAAACAACACAAACTGAGGGCAGAGGCTTCATCTGAAAGAGCTGCAGAGGATTCGGTCACTGAGGGGGCAAAATAGCAATCCTGGACAGCTGTGATACACAGAAATAATAAAATAATCCCAGTTTTATTTATCTGCATTAACACACCAACCTGCCTCCCAAAGAAGGAAGAGGCTGCTGGAGCACAACAGCCTTGAGCAGAACTAAAGCTGGTCAGGAAACACCCAGAACTGCATGAGAACTTCTAGAAAAACTCTAATAGTGTATTGTGAGCTTTTAACTTTTCATCACCCAGTTTGTTCACTCCAGTACTCAAGCACTGTTTGGACCCATCTTCAAAACTTAATTTGCTTTTTGTTCAAGATTCTGAAGGTAACACATTTATCTTACAAATCAGAGCCCATTATTTTCCAGGCCAGCCCAGATCCAACGTGTTGCTGACTAATGAACATCAGACTTACTAACTCCTAATCCTGGTTGACAATAGTTTTTTGTGACCTCAGAATAAGGCATTCCTCCCTCCCTGAGGCCTGTATGTGCCCCAGGTTTCTGAGAAAAACACTCATCTCCCAGTATGCCACAGATGAGTTCAGAAGTGTAAAAATCCAGTGCAATAGGAAACATACTCACTTTTTTCCTGAAAACTGAGAAGGAAAGTCCACAGGCCTTGCAGACGATGTTGGTGCTGGCTGCAGCAGGAGCTGGATAAGCTGAGAAGCCCGTGCTTGGTGTGAACCTGAAGGGACCAGCACCTCCCCCAAAGCCAGCCTGCTGGCCACGCACTGCCCCCGTGCCCATGACTTCATTCAGCAGCCCGCAGCAGGAAGCCCACATGGAAGTAGCTCCCGCCTGCAAACAGCACAGAGCAGCACAGAGGGTCAGGATGTGGAGCCCCATCAGATGGGAGCTGCTGTGAGGAGCTGCTTCACTCATCTGTCACCACCCCAGAGCACGGGGTGCCAATCCTGGAGCCAGGGATCCCAGCACGGTCAGGGTGGGCCAGAGCAGCTCCACAACAGCTGAAATCCAGAG